TGTTGCGTGGTAGTTGGAGGAAGGTGAATTTTAGCCATCACCCCGGCGATGTCCTGCAGCATGAGTCGCTCATGCCAGTTTGACTCGCTTCAGTTTGTCTGTGGTGCCTGTGCATGATGTTGTCCAGGTTTGTTCGCCAGGTTTGGTTCTGTTGCCGTTCATCCTCTGTCTTTGCTTTTTTGTTTTGCTGTTTCTTTTCTCTTCTTCCTCTTTGAAAACATTACTTTTTCTGTTCATTACTTGATTTCTTTTGTACTTCAGAAATAATATTTCATTGCCAAATTAGTTTGAGTTACCTTTGACAATTATCATGTTCAACTGTCTTCGTAATCATCATACTCGTCCAACCGATGTCACCTTCAACCTGCGAATAATCAGCTCATCTCTCCCATAGCTCCACTTCTCCTTCCATCATGACCGAACACCAACTATACATGTACATCAATTTAGAGCAATGTCCATAGCCTGCAGTCATATCATGGCTGCTAAAATCCAGAGGTCATGACTTCGTAACATGCATATCAATAATATTATAATTTTAATGTACTTGTACAAATGTAATGTACTTGTACATGTACATGTTCACGGAGTTTTGCGGACTACCCGCCACTATCTCACTCGCATCTTCTGCAACATGTGCTGTGTCAGTGTGCGAAAGAACTTTGAAGAAGACGAGTTCGAGCATACAATACTGTATTGCCATGATTTCTACCCTACTTCTCATTGAAAACACTATCTTCATGACTTCCGAACCCTTTCCCATGCAGTGCACCAACACTGATCAGGTGCATTGTACACAGTTGTATTAGCCTACATACTAGAACTGTGGTATAATCGTGTAGTTATGCTCCTACCTCCGAGAGGATGCCAAATTATGCTCCAAATGTTCAACCACCAAATTATGCCAATAATTATGCCGGCATAATCCGCCGGTGCCTATAATGTAGTCTGCAAAAAATTATGTCAGGGTGTCATGAAAGTAGCCCTTTCCCAAAGATGCTCGCCACTTGTTTTCGCAACCTTTTCGTTGTTTAGGAAGAAATCGCAACTTTCTTCATTATCGCGAACAATTTCGCAACTTTTCCGTAACCTTGGCCCCATGGCATGGGGTCGAAATGTCAAGTTATGGACGACATGCTGTACATGTTGGACAAATGCATACTCGCTCATTTATCGCCTGCCTTCAGATTCATTTCAGAGAAATGGTAGATCAACGGTAGCTACGATAATGTGCATTCCCCTTTCCGTGCACTGGAATGATGTAAAACACATGTACATGCAACAGGCTACTGGCACTGTGTACAGTGGTGGTTCACAGCAGGAAGGGGTGTACGAGTTTGCTGTCGCTGCACTGTCTTCTGCTATTTCTGCTCCTTTTTTTGGTGGTTTTGCACAAGAACTCTCCAATTTTAAGTAAGTTGCGAAATTAGCAACTTTTGAGCGTTTTCTGAAATTATGGATGCGATTTCAGCAACTAGCACTTGTTTTGACACGGTTGCGAAAAATTGTGGCATCTTTGGGAAAGGGTTACATGTACATGAAAGCCCACTTTCACAACTCCCTGTTATACAATGTACATGACGACTAGTACGGTAGTAGTACTGTAGCTCAGCCAAGGACTACTATACTGTGTACCTACATGTACATGTATTATTAGTACTTTCTTGAAAGGGACACAGCCGTAGCCCGTAGGAGGGCGACAGTTCACCACGGCGACAGCTGGCAATAGCCCTTTCCCAAAGTTAAAGGTGCTCTTTTAATTCGCACTTAGTGCTTTTCGCGTCCCTCAAAAAATGCTGAAAAAGTGCTCTTTTTTCAGTGAAAACAGGCAAAAGTGCTCTTTTTTCAGTGAAGCATAGCCATGATACACTGTACATGTTCAGATATGAACCCAAGCTGAGAAATGAATACGTACTCTTCCATTTATGGGTCCACGAAAGGCAAAACAGGAAGTAAAGTTCAAAAACCCACTTTTTACAGCATTGTGTACAAGCGTCACCAATTTGTTGCCCCTCAAAAAAGCGGCGTGACAAGGGCCCAAAGGCCCATCGAGCACTCGGAAACTGTGATCACATGCATGAGCAAACATATTTTAGCACTTTTTCAGCTAAAAAAGCTCAAAAAGGGCGATATTCACTAAAAAACGCAGTAAAGGGCGAAAGAAAGGGGCTTTTCCAAAAAGGGCCAAAAGGGCGAAAAAAAGGGCGAGCACCTTTGGGAAAGGGCTAGCTGGCAACCAGGAGGCACGATTAGGCATATGCGGATATAAATACTGGCAGAAATATTGGCAGAATTCGGTACTTTTTCTGGTAAGTTTCATGCATGTTTGGTATGTGGATAAAGAAATGGAGCAGAATTCGAGGAATAGGGCTTGAAAGTGCTACGTCACAGCATAGCAACAATTTCAAAAATTCAAAAACTGGATCCACTTGGATCCAGTTTTTGTATGGATCCAAGCACATTTCAAGCGGTCTTAGTAACTAGACGTCGGCGGATAATG